CGGATTCTTAGTTACTCAACGATTTAGATTATTCGGCCGATCGATTTCTATACCCGTGTATTATTTAATAAGCACGTCTAGGGATTGCTTAACCTTGCGTTATTCGGCGGCTTACGTAATAAGATTTTCTTGTGCAATAGTTAGTACATGTGTATAATATGCACTCCATTCACTTGAGCAAACAGTAGCCGCAGTAGTACTCGGAACTGTGAAATAAAAAATCGGATTCTCAAAATCGGCGATTTCGCTGGTCGTCGTTACCACGTACGTTGATGTTAATGAGCCTGTACAGGCGAGGAAAATGATTTCAAATTTGCCAGAAAAAGTGAGAGGACGGAGAAAACAAATCGATGGTAATTAGTGAAAATCGGCGCGTATCGCTCGATGAAATCCCAATTGGCTTTCTAGCCGGTGCATTTTAACGAGGCACCGTCGATCGCGTATCCCGCCGTTTGGCGAAATAAATCATACAAAAGCAGCCCTGGCTTTTCGCCATTATCCGATAATCAGAAATAAAAAAAGACTTTTTGCCGTATAGAAAGTCCTCGTGAAACAAAAAAAAAATACGCATCGACGAAAAAGTGAAATGCACCACGCGCTCGTCAACTCTCATAGATCCATCAAGTTTTTCCCCCTCGTAGGCGCGTCCATTTACTCTCGCTTTCCCAACCGATCGAGATCCACGTTGTGAGAAAAAAAAAAAAAAATCATCCCACCTTATGCAACAGGTCTCGCGAAAAGGTGACCTAATCCGGCACCGACAACAATCCCAATATACTAGGAGACAAAAAAAACCGCTTATGCAACTGACCTCCTCCTCCTCTTCTCAAGCCGATTATCGCATCTACCTTTCTCTCCTCCAGTGGACCATCTTCCGTGTAAAATTACTGCAGTAGCAACACTCGAGACACGTCGACGATGGAAAAAAAAGGTACGCCACAACCGACAGAACGCACACGCACCACGTGGTGGACTAGTGACTATTCAGCCGCGGCAAAGCAGTGACCCGAGCTCGATCGCCGCCGTGCACGCCACATGCCTACGATATACGCACACTTTCACTCTTCACTCGGGGCCGCAGGACCCAGATTGCGCTTACACGCAGGCGCGCTCGTATGTGCTAATTGCCGATTGCGATTTATGCCTCTTTTAACCTCCATGTGGCGGTCGTACTACGCCGATTTTTCTTCTCCTCCTTCTTTCGCCTCCATTCGGAGATCCGCGCGATTAATGACGCCCCGAGCGAGGTTCAAGAGGATCTCGACTTGGCGGGCGATTTGTTTGTCCGGAGGCGCGATCGAATTACCGTCGGGGGCCCCCCTTCCCTTAATTACACTTTACGATCGCGAGGCGATCGTTATCGCCCAACAGATGTTGGACGCGCGGAAAATAAAAGGGTCGTTCGTCGCCTCGAACAATGGCCCGTTCGGAAAGTGCCGGCGGTATAACTTTTGCTACCCCAAATTTGCAGGGCCTAATTGGCGGAAATAATTCACCGATCAGTCGTCGTAATGTTTGCTTTAGCCAAGAGTGCTGCGTGTAATTAAGCTATAAAATCGGCAATAGCCGCAATCGGATCGGTATGTGCACGTGTGACCGCAACGACGAAAATTCACACTTGGATCGACACTGTTTGTATTAATAGCAATTCTAAGCGTGAAAAAAAAACTTGTGGGTTCAAGAGTGATTTGAAAAAATTGCCCAACGTAGTATAGTTTGACAGCTAGTAATTTCTCGTGTATACGCAGATCGTGTCGTTTGATAATTTTCTCGAGGCGTCGGATCGGGATCGAAAAAAAAATTTGCGTGAGAAAGTGGGTCGCTCAAAACGTCGACGTCTCGATACAGCAGCGAACCGATGACTATGATTTTCTCCCGTTTCGCGCCACAGTCCGTAGGGGATACGTTGCGTCATTTGTAGCGGGCTATCATTACCGATTATTCGAATTTGGGCGTTTCGATGGGCGATCGAAAATTTCTCTCGAAAAGAGCAAACTCCCCGCTGAGTGAGCGGTTTCTCTCGTATATTCAAACGCGAGAAGGACGAAATTACCCGAGATGAGTACATGTACTTTCTACCGAAGTGTTACCAAAAAATACCAAAGTCCGATCGGTTAAACGATTTCTCGTTAACGAAGCAAAGCAAGCAAAATTCACACACTCCATTACTCGTATTTACTTAAAAAAAAAAAAAAAAAAAAAATCGAAAGAAAATATCCTTCTTCCTCTTCGGTTCGTCTCGCAAAAGCTCACCAGCGAGTTGCATAAGCGAGATCCTCACGCAGAGTCCATCCGACACGCTGAACTTTCACGTCTCGGCCCTAACGAGCGGACAAAAAGGCGATTCGCTTCGCTGCAATAGATGTACCATTTGTTGTTATTGCTGTTGTCGTGTGGTTTTGCATAGAGATGAGTCGGCTAACCCCGACGAGCTCAAATCACCTCGGGATCCTTGTAACACATAGTCACCCTGTCGCGGACTGCGTGGCGTTGGAACTTTCGCTACCGAAGAGTGCACGTCCGCTCGGATATATATGTATATTTATCGGCAATTCTATTGGACTTTGCACGTATGCTTTGAATTTAATGCATGTGTTTGCGACGCAAAAGGTACGTGACAATATTTTCTTGCGCTTATTATATGCTGATGGTTCATTGTGCGCCGAAAAAAGAAAAATGAATCACTCGAGGTAACATCCTTATTTTGTTGACTATATACTTCAAATTTATTTTGTATTTTCAAATAGTCAACTGCATTGAGTGTGGCTGCGATGTTCGGTGCATTGAAAAAATTTACTAACAAATTGAGAAATAAATTCAATCATTTTTATCAATGACCTAAAGCTTAAGTTTATCAATTACTTAAAGTTTTTGAAAATTAAATCTCAATTATTTTAATTGACTACTGAATTAATTAAAGTAATTACATTTAATTCAATATTAATTTTCAATCATTACTAAGTTTGTATATTTCATAAAACAAATTTTTCAACTTGGAAAGTACAAAGAAAAAAACTTTAAGCAAGATTTTTGCACTAATGAACTTTCACATAGAATAATACAGTTTAACTGCGTAATTTGAGTTAAAAAATCTTGTAATACTCATGACTTTTAAATAAAATCTAATTTATTTAGGAAAATAAATTTTTTTAAACTCGTAACTGTATTATCTCATAGACAGATGCATTGTTAAATTTTCTTTGGCCATCAGCAGAGTAAACCACGCGATCGACGTGTACAATAAATTCTTCCCTTTCATTTCGCGATACTTTATGTCGAGTCCTGACTGTAAAAGCCAGCTCGGATCGGTCCATTGAATCGTGACGTCATATTTCATTGATTCGCCGAGCCAATAATTGCCCTGTTAAGGTATCCCACACTTTTTCCCAATCGCGAAGCATAAACCCCTGTACAAGCGAAACAACGAATCCCCGCGAGCACGATAATCGTAAATCCTACGCGTACACACACTTCTGTTTCAGGATCCCCATAACTCATCTTTCGGGCTAAGGGGACACGACACACGCGCGTCGATACACCCAAGCGCACTCAATTACCGCTCGATGGCTTACGCAACGGTGGACGCCTCCCTTCGCCAAATTACGCATGCAACCTGCGTTGGGAACGTCCCCCCCAATTAAGTCGCACAGGCGGATGTCCACTTTGCAGAACAAGTTCAAGAAAATTTCGCTCCCAAAAACAAAAAAGGGAAGGGGCATGAGCCAAGGAAATTTCGAAGCCGCGGTCTCCGTCGGCGATGCACACACACACACACACGCACACACGCACTCTAAACGTTGCGCAATGCACGCGCACTCGCTCTCGGGCGGGTTAGTCGTTAAAGGATTTCGTAACAAGGAGAGTCCGGGACGCGCGTGCGAGTATCCCACAGGAGGATGTATTTACAGCTGAGCGTACTTAATACATAAGCTTCCGAGCGGATTATCATTTTTGATTTCCCGATATCCGTGACGAGATGTATCTGCTCTCCTGATGGTTCCTGTTTCTCTTTGTACCGCTACTGATGGGCCTCTCGCGTTACGTAAAATTTCGACCCCGGCTCATTACCATGCGACAGCAGGTGTCTGCGTGTATGTGTGTGCTCCATGTGTCTACGAACATATACATACGTATATATGTATATACACGCCTGGGGTATCGATTGCATCTCTTTGAGGTATAATTAATTAATGCCCACGAGGATGTTTACTTATACCATTGGGATTTTGTTTCTGCTGCCAAATGATGTCATGTTTATTTTATGGTGATGGATTTGGAAAAGTTTTTTAAAAAGTCACTACCGTTAAGGCACAACTTCGTATAATTAAAGGAAAAGACAGAATAACAAAGTGTTGAAAATTTTAAAAACATGCAGACTCGGAAATTATATTGATTGGCAACGTTACAGCAACAGTTGTTTTACCAAACGGATATTACACAAAAGTATATACCTTTTCTTACGAGGTGATATAAGAGTTTTAAGATTTTAGCTTACCTCCGCGATGGACCACACCTACAACGACAACTATTCCCCTCAAGTGCAATTTACATGATACTGTGAATTCTGTTGTTTTGATCTTTTTCTGGCGACCACCGCCGTTTGCAATAATAAGTATAAAGCCACCACGTTGATTTGAAAAAGTAAATTGAAAGTACGTTCGTTAACATTTACATAACAAGGTACAACTTTTTTTTTTTTTATATACCGCGTGAATATTTTTTACCTCAACAACGTACTTGTATGATATTGTTTCCTTTTTACTGTTCTTAAAAGTATGCATGTACCACAGTCCTTATACGAGCGCAGCTGAACGAAGGCTCTTAAAATAAATCACTTCACCCCGAGCAGGGCCAAGGAAACAAAAGAAAGGCATCAGTTTAATTGGCCAGTCTTGGCAAAATACCTATCTCGAATTCGCAAACACCGAAAGTCGCCAAAAAATCTCAGCTTCGCACTTACATGTATACGTATCAAGGGGACAGAATTATGCAAAACTTACCCTCCTTTCACGTGGTACGACAAAAGGTCCTTATCTCTCCAAAAGCGCGGGACAAAGGAGAGAAACTTCCCTCAGCTGCTGTCGGCCACGAAGTGCATCTTGTCAAAGCCCGGCGTTCACTAACTAACGCGAGATGAGCATAGAGCCCAAGCGCCAGTTTGTAGCGGCTCGGCTTTCGAGTGCGGCAAGGTCGGCCACATTTTTTTTTTTTTTCCTCCTTTTTTCCATCAATTTCTTTCGAACGTGCTATACCTATATACCGATGCCGTTGCGTGCCTCGAAAAAAAAGTTATGTAGCTATACACGTGCGCGCACCTGCGACAGGCTATAAACCGCGAAGACGAGCAGCAGGTATATTATGAGCTGGGACGACTATGACGACTTGCCGATTTATTTTGCTTTCTGATTCGTCGGCTCGACGGGGCTAGGGAGCCGGCCGGCCGGCTACGTTGTAACTATAAACGTTATTTGGGAGATGCACATAGGAGGACCTGCGTGAGCGGAATTTTAAAGAGCTTTCAGTCTGATTCATTTTTTTTTTTTTTGAGCAATACCTTTAAAGAAAAAAAATTTTTTGGTTTTGAAACTTAGCAATCATCCATTACTTTGATTATCTCCATGATGCATGACTTGAGTAATCCAGTAGTAGTCGAGGGATTAGCAAATCCGTGCTCTTCAATTATGAGTATGTTGTTTTTTCACTCAATTTCTTTTTACTCGATATATCTGACCTCCGTTTAAATAAGCGCAATCTTTTTGTACGACTGATACAATGGGGATGTAAGCTTTCTTTATTAATGAATTATGTATTAAATTTTTTTATGAATTATTATTATTGGAAAAAAAAATTTTTTTTGCCTGTGTATATGGTACAATGTATTAAAGTTATGGAAAAGGTATTAGATTGTTACTTAAAATGAAATGCGCGGGTTCTCGACAGAAAGGAGGAAACGCGTAAAATGTAACAATAGGTTTTACAAAAAAAAACTTTCCACTTACCAATCGGCTTCGAAAATGTGCTTACATTATTATAGTAATCGAAACCTAATACACTACGCTCCTCCGCATAATGCGACAGTCGAATGCATGCTTTCACCGGAACTATGAAACTATCCTCGAAATATACAAGTACCGCGTCAACAAGATTTTTCAATTTTGTATTTATGGATACGACAAAAAAGTAACAATACATTCGTTACGTGAATTAGTATCGTTTGTCATGGCATCGGTTTCTCAATAGTGTACACATATATGTTTCAAAGTTTTATTTCTAATTTGAAGGTAACTATATGAAGAATGGGACAATTATTTTTAATCCACCATGTTTTCCATTCTCTGAAGAATCGTAAATTAATTCCCGACTAATTTTTCCATTCTCGAAAGGCGGACTAGTATTGCTCAATCGTTACTTGCACTGTAAGGACGAAAATTTATATGAAAGGATAAAAGACGTACAACTTGAATCATTTGATGGTTTGAACAATTATTTAGTTGCGCCACTCTGAGTAATATTTCTTGATCTCTAGTGTCGCAAGCGCTCGAACGCTGCTGCCACAGATTCTCCAACTGTTCGGAAATTTACAATGATATCGGTTTATTTCGCATTTTTTTCCATTGTTCCTATTGTTGGAGACGTACAATTACAAAAAAAGGAAACTCTGAAAAGGCCCGTAATAAATTAATGATTATCCTGTCTTGCATCTAACGATACACCGTAAATTTGAACTAAAAACTGCATCGTTTTGTTGCAGTCGCAAAAAAAGTTATTCGTTTACGTTATTTACTTTACAGAAAGTATAAACAAAATCTAGTAAATGGTTGTAAGTAGATAATAATGCAAAAAAGAATTTTAACTCACAGTACAAAACGTAGTACAAAATTGATGATATTTTTATACCTTATGCTAATATTTACATTTCCTTGATTATATAAAACAAAAATTAACAGGTACAGGTTTTGTTTGATACATGTACAACATTCTCTGTTTTTTCATAGATAAACTAATGGCTCTATCAGGTGATCGTTTCGACATGTTACGATAACATCTTTGAACGATACTTAATATTATTACATTTGCATCTTATGCAACCATTTTTTATAGTAAATTTTAAATTAAGATAAATGACGTAACAGCCACATTATCTAATGGAATAGATTTTAGTTCTATTATGTAATAATAGTTTAAAACTGCCATGTTTTACTTTTATGCATTGAAATAAAAAAAAAAGATAGACAAATCGATAAAACTGTATAAAAATATATAATTTATACATGTAAAATACCTAAGCTAATTATCTTTTTACACTATTAAATACCCTTGTTCGTTACATGAAAAATTGTTACTACACCCTTAAAATTGAAAAAAATCGTTCATCCTATGTATTAGATGGCTGTTGCTTGTATTGGCGATTGAATATAAATACTTAACTATCAAGCTATGAAGATATCCAACATCATCCCGACGAATTACTGTATTAAAGCACTTGTCAGTATTTATTTAAAATAAATTTTCTTCAAAATACTGTCAATTGTTACAACGTTTTGTTATTTAACAACGAAAGTAACCTTCAAAACAAATGGCCGTTGGCCATAAGATTACCATCGGCATGCGAGATTCAATTTAATCTAAAATGGATAGCTCCAGACCCTGGATTGAGCCCTCGGCGTCGGTTGAAATTTTCTACGGTTTAGTGATGTATGTTGCACACGTTGATCGCTCGGAGCTTACAATTTATTTGAGTTGTCCGATGGAAGGCCCGAAACGGTAAAAATACCTCGGAAAAGCGGCTTGAAGAGTTCCAGTAACGTCGCAGTTCTCCTCGCCGAGTTCTGAAACACGCAATTACCCAAGCGTCAGTACTTTGATAGGCTTACATTTTATAAATATTTTTTATAATTTTCTTGCGTAATCGTGTTTTTCTCCTTATTTTTAAGATTATTTTTGTTCTGTCCCAGAGTAAAAACAATTGCCGAATCGTAAGAGCTAGTAAACGCCCAATGAAACTCAATTTTCTTTTCCACTGGTTGAGTACGCAAGTAGCGCATCAGATTCAATGGGATGCGTTTGCTGTCAAGACAAAAAGTGCCATTTAAAAAAACCAACACGAATGACGCTCTCCGGATCAAGGATACACGTTCACTTTATTACGAGTTGGCTTGTAGGTACACACGAGACCAATAAACGCCGATAAAAAACCAAGCCAGGGTTCGATTTCAATTATTCAAGTGGCATTCTTATTTAATAAAACAACTAAACTATACAATCTTTCTTGCGCAATACCCGTATACTAGTTTGATTTCTTGAATAAAAAAAAAAAAAAAAAATCTAAACAAGATATTTATTTCATTTTTAATCAGCAATGAATTCTACAAAAAACGTTGCGTGCCACAACGTGTGATTACGCGTTATTTGTTAATACACGTGTGCAACGTAACGAACTGCGCAAAAAATTAGAAGAAAAATAAAAAGAAGTTGGTTTTATAAAAATGTAAAGCGAGACGCACGGGACCACGCGAGTTTTGTAATCGTTTCGAGTGAAGGGAAACGAGTTTTAACAAACATACGCGCACTTGCACTGGTACGGGTTGAAAGATAAAAATAACATGTCTGGCTTCACCGAGTGCATATATCAGGAGCAATAACTTTTACAAATGTTAAATTAATGATGACTTACGAAGTGCTGAAAAAAAAAAAAATAAATAAATAAATAAATTTGAATTAAGATTTTCTGTATAAGATGATTGTATAGGACCAATCTTTTGATCAATAGTTGACGCTAAATCGGTAATGTTAATACTCATATGGGAGAAAAGCAATTTTTCGGTATGTTAATGGTTTTGAGTTTGAGGAAACAATACTTAAATGTAAAAGTTAAGCTGAAAAAATAAATAATTTTACCATTATGACACTGCCGATAATTTTACTAATGTTAGTTATGATAGAGAAACCACTGCCAAAGAGTTGGGGTGGAACATCTAGAGCCACGTTCTTCCTGTCGAACTCGGGAATGTCTTCCGTCGTCGTGCGAACTGCTGGTTTACGTGTAACCACTCGACGCGTGGTCGTCGATATTTTCTGCAGAAAGTAAAGTACAATGATTTTTTTGTTGCTCGAAAACTATCATGTGGACTTGGCGCTTCTGATCCTTGGAGATTTGGACAATTAAAGGTACTTCTGCGGAAAATTTTTTGTGAAACTTGGAATCAACATTTTTGATCTTAGTAACAAATAGATCTGGTTAATATGCAAGAGGGAAACACAATTGGGTGTCATAGTTGTGGCTTTTCAAAACAAGTTCGATTTCCTTGCACTGAAGTAACGAAAGTATTTTCTAATAGTCTGATATGATAGGTAATAACAACATCCCAATTAAAAAGCAGCATTTTTCACGTTTTATTGATTCCATTGCTACATGAATCAAAAGTAAAAATAAAATTTCTTATAGTATGATTACCGTAATGATGGCGTATACAGAAGAATAATCTCTGATACACCTATAAAAGTAAAATAAAAATGGCAAGAATCTTCACGTTTAGGCAACCGACTATAAAACGACAAAATTAGACCTTTACCTACAGTAAAAAAAAAAAAAAAATATCCGCTCTGCTCAGACGCAGACTCCTGGGACTGACACTAATTTTGTCTTGATACGTCTTAGTCGCAAATAAAGATACACAAACATTTTAAAACAGATATACATGTGGTGTGCATCGTGAATTGTTAGAATTCGAGACAAATAGTAGAAATACGCATTGCGGTCCATGATGTGTTGATTAATTTACGAGTAACGACTGGTTATTGTAAATAGTGACAATCATTTATTTGACAACACATTCATGCCTCGGTACAAGTGAGTTATTTATAATTACAAGTCAGTATGACGATAAGCACGTAATTTTTTTTGTATTAAAAGTTCGGAACTGACGAAAAATTTTTTAATCTGTCAAGCGCTGTTGAAAAATTTGAGCTACATATTCATCCTGTGAATCGCATAATTAGTGCACTAAAAAGTTGCAACAAATTTAAGGGCAGTTTGATCGAAGAGTCGTTAGTTCTGGAGCTTTTACGTAAATACTCAAATGTGTAACAAATAATGCCACTAAACACGTAAACTCACACGTTCTGACGTATTTACAAACTTGTTTCCATGTAACTTTCTACGTCACTAGGGAAAAAAAAAAAAAAAAAAAAAAAAACAACAACAACAAAACAACATGTCTCTCTTAATAATAGTAAAATTGTCACGCAAATAACATAGTTACTTAGACGTAAAATATAAACGCGTACAAAATGTAAACATTATTCATTTGACTCACATTGATAATCCAACATGGGTAAATTGTAATACACTTGAAAAAAAAAAAAAAAAAATTAACAACATTAGTAGTATAATGTTCTTAATAGTACGGCCACTTGGTACAGATTTTGATTATTCGTTCGTTATGCTTTTTGATTTCGTGGTCCACCATATCCGCTGGTTCTCGCACGTCTTCGATAAGTAGTCACACACCGCTGATCTTCTTCGTAATCGAGTCGTAGCTGCAGTCATCGTTAATCCCCTCGATACTCTCTTCACCGGCCATAGGCGTAATACTGTTGCTGTAGATTGTACTGTTGTTGATGTGGTGGCGTGTAAGAGTACTATATTTGTACAATAGATAACACAGTCGACATTCAGACTCGTTTTTGTGATCATTATTATTATTATTATTATCATTTTTGTTGTTATTGTTAAGTACCATTTGGCAGTTTAATATATCGAGTGTGGATAACAATATCGTGCTTGCGGTGCGTCTGGCATGCAATCGGTGTTAATGTGATTCTTTGAGAAATCTTCTTTGACCAATTTGACTTTTACTCCAACGTTTATATATTTGTAAACGAAATTTTACTGGTTTGATTGGCAATAACAATATGCAAAAGTCAAAATCAATGAAAGAACCTCAATGTATACAACCAGTTGTTTTTAGGAACAGTTAATAAATATCTTGCATATCGAAGGGTATTTTAATTGTAGAGGACAAAAATTAAAAAAAAAGTGTACCTGTTAAAAGTGTGACGTCATGCAACAGCAATCGTGTTTTGGGTATAGACAAACTATTTTACACTCTTATATATGCATAAAACGCTGGGTACAGACGGTGAGGGGGTTAATGGTAATCCGAGGTACGAAATTTAGTGCTCAACAACGGGCATTCATATATGTAACATTCTCTGCTCTTGATTATCCATTCGACGTGCAGAGGATCGATCGACGTGCGTTTGACTACTTGTTTTTTTTTTTTTTTTTTTTTTTTACGTGACTGGCAGTGAAATCGCGCTTCCGGAACCCGTTGAAGCATTTAATTAACGTTGCGCTCTCTCCGGTGCGTACTAATATACAGATAGCGAATCTTTCAGCGTGTGTATAGTAATCTCGTAATGAACAATTAGTCATACATAATGAGCGTATACTTCCTGCAATTTTGTATTTACATCGATGAAAACTCCACCCCGAAAATTATTTCGTATCGTTAATCTAACTCTGTAACGTTTAATTACTGTTATCTTTATCATACCAATATAATCAAAGATAATTGAGCAAAAGAAAATCTAATTTGACTCTACTTTGAAGTGCACACCCTCGCCTAAGGAAAAGTAAAAAATATTTACAAAAGATCGACCCGTGTGCTAAATGAAAAGAAAACACAGCGTAAAGTATTGCGTTATTTTTTATAAAAATTAAAAAAAGAAAAGGTAGCAGTAACCGAGTGCTAAATAGCTCACCTCAGAAAAAAAAAAAAAAAACACTAGAATCCTCGTCACCCTTTGAAACATGTTTCAAGCCCGATCGAAGCGAAAAAATCGTAATAAATGGAACGAGGGGCTGCGCAGTTAAAAGTCTCGATAAATGCCTTTAAAATCTTGTAGTAAGCTTTCAAAAACTCTTAAATATTCCACGTGACTCCAAATAATGCATTTAAAGTTATTTCGAGATGTTGAAGAGTACACGGCCCCTCGAGGTACAGTAACAATAAAAGAAGTAGGCTCGCGATGCTTCAACGAGCCCAGCCGGGCGCAATTATATATATATATATATATTACAGTGAGCAAAAAGAGAGTAAGGGCCTCAGAATTTCGCTCCTACCCCTCCGCCGAGGTTCCCGTAACTCGCGTTGGCGTCGGCCGTCACGGCCGGCAAGTCGGGCTCGAGCTCGTCGACGCCGTTGCCTCCCGTGTCACCAGCCCCGTTGCCACCGCCGCTCAATCCACCGTTGCTGAGGCTACCGAAGCCACCGCCGTTGCTGCTCCCGCTGAGGCTGCCTAGTATCCCCGTCAGGAAGCTCCCGCTGTTGCTCCCACCACCGTCCCTGTGCGAGCCATCCTCGCCGCCGCTACCTAAAAGAAGACCCCCCGCGTCAGTCCAAAGCTCCCATTAGGAACGCGGTGCGCCAGAATTACCAGAACCACCGGATAGACCGCCAACCAAGCCACCGGAGAGGGAACTGAGGGGCGCGAGTTTTGAGGCGAAGGCGCCGGCCAGGCCCTGCTTGGCGGTGGACAGGAAGGTGCTGCCGGCGCTGAAGATCGGCCCGATGCCGGTCGAGCTGGCCCGCGACTTTTGGGCGAGGAACTTGTTTATGAACTCTCCCGTGGCTGACTTGGTGTTGTCGATCTCGAAGGCCGCGTTTTTCGCCCTGTTGCTGTCGTCTAGCACCCCCAGGGCCTTGGTTTTGGCATCGAGGAAGGCGTCCAGTTTCTGAAAGTGCCATTTTTTTTTTTTTTTTTTTTTTTTGATGATTTACTCAATACGTTGCACAACGAGTGTACCTCGAGCACTATGAACGCGGGTACCGATTTGTTTGCGTTGCTTAAAAAAAGCGAGAAGAGAAGAGAAAAAAAAAAAATCTACTTCGAGTTTCGCAATCCGAGGATGTAGTAGTAACGCTCGCTGGTGTATAGAAAGCCGGACATTTTTTCCGCTACGAGGAGCATTAAACATCAAAAAGTGATATCACTCGTTGGACGCGGCTTTTGCGAATCTCTTGCGAAACTGTGTCAACCTTTTCATTTTTTTTCTCTCTCTACTCTTCGAGTGTTTGCTATGCCGTGCGATCGATAATAAGACAAAGTAATAATTACCCCGAAGACAAAGTTGATGATGCCATTGCTGACGCCGAGTTTGACGACGCCGATTTTCCGCTTTTCCCTGTCGCTCCTCTCATCGTCGTCGTCGCTCTGCAAAACATAAACCTGACGAAACATTAACAACCACGACCACGACACACGGGGTCATAGTTTTCACAATATACGGTAACTTTTGTTATGTGTATATACAATTTGTACAAGAGAACAGTAGGACCAGAGAGCGAGAAGCTTACAGTTGCGGTGTATCGTCGTTTACACATGATCATCATCACACTCGTGAGCGCGTACTTTACAATTACAATCATCGGCAGCACGGCTCGACATAACACGCACATGTGCATACATTACAGGTGTGTATAGTCGCAATTAAAAATAAAACGCCAAGACACGAGCCTTTTGGTTGATAATATTTTTCGCAGCGCAGTTCATCGAACGGCTTACAAGCGTGCCCGTGTAGTGTATAGGACGTTGTTTCGTCGTTAACAAGATTTATAACAACAACAGTACAACGTGACGGAGAGGTGTACAATCGGTGGATCTCCTCGGCCCATACGGAGACGATTGGCCGTGGGTACATATATGTGCATTGTATTATGAGCTGGTGAAACTTTTTCGCCGCGCGTCGTCAAAGGGGAGGCAGAGGAAGACGAGGCGTGAGCTGCCCGTTGAATGCAAATGTTTCGCCGTGCGGTAGTTTTTCACGTCCGTATCTTCCTCCTCGTTCGTTGCACGCGTCTCTGCGCTTTCGAAACTATATATGCTTGGATATTGTCGATTGTCACTAATGCTAAGAGCTTTCGTCGGTTCGATAGATACCCAATTCGCCACTTTTTTTTTTTAATTTGCGCGTGTGTCTTGCAATGCCGTACGCAAATCTCGAGGATATTTTTAAATTGAATAAATATACACACCGGGGCCTGTTCTATTGCAAACTGAGTGGCAAGTGTCTCGTACTTGTGGCCCAGTTTTTAAAGTCAAGTCGGGAGCTACAGCGACATTTCCACGTTCTCAGTGTCGTCATTCGCCATGAAAAGTGTACAACGTGAAAAATGAAAAGAAAAAAGGGGTTGACCCGAAAAAAGTACAGCTCGCGCAAAAGAGCGAATTCCATCCGGAGTATCGTGTAGATTCGAGTGGTAAAGGAAAAAGAGTATAAAGAAAGACGGATGGGGAGGGAAGGCGAGTTGCGACAAGTATGTGCGTTTCGTTGCGTCAGGCGTGGCGAGTGTACGACCCGGCTAATTAAAAAAGACCCGCGGGACGGAAAAAAGCGCTCTGTGTACTCGCGTGTCCTTCAAAGGATCTAGGGTGATTTTTCGCGAAATAATATCTACCATCTACAGATGATACATGATTTTTAATATCTGCTGTAGATTTGTTCGATCGCATGTACGATTCAACAGTTGAAATCATCGTTTATGTTCTGAGGGTGAAAAGCTATGAGATTAATAAACGGGACGATTATTGAGTGTTGACGAGAAAAAAAAAATAATAAAGTTGATCATAAAAAAATACATTTGTAGGGTGAGCGAGAAAGAATTTCCGGCTAATGGCTAATAATTTTCACGTAATCGTAATAAAAAGTTTGTGAATAATTCATATAGTTCTACGGATACTAATACCATGTCGGAGAGAATGTAAATTATTCACGCGCAATCAACATTACGACGCCCGAAGCACACACCACATAAACGATCAAATAGCTGCCGTAAGATTGTCGAGGGTTTGACGCATTTTCAGAACCAAAGGTCGTAATTTCGAGTTCTATTGAAAAAAAATTTTTTTGTCTTTGAAATCAAAGTAAAAATCTCGATTGAAGGCGCTCGGCCATTATCGCCCGGATTTTCTCCAAACGAGCGAAATGAAGTGCCGCTCGAGTCGAAGCGGGTACAAGCGCGGAGTGTATTTCGTGACACCGAAAACGCACTCGGCGAGAAAGCGAAAAAAGGAAGAAATAAAAACCAAAGGAAAAAAAAAAACAACTCGAGAAGAGAGGGAGAGAAACGCGGATTCCGGTGGCTAGCCACGTGTGGCTCATGTGTCGTATATAAGTACACACACGCACCTGTTCCGTCTGCCACTGCTATATGCTTGGGTATATAATATATATGCGTGCACCGCGGCAATTTCAAGCGCACGCATGGACCGGCCACTTTCACCTACTATACACTCATATATATTATACGGCTCATACATGTATGTATATATAATGTACGTAAGCGCAAGTGCGAGCAGTGGTAAAATCATTGCTCTCCCATATATCGGCGCCTCCTTCCGCGCTCACTTACCGATTAACCTCCGGGAAGCTATAATCGATTGTTTTAGTTCCTTTAAATACTCTCATTACGGCGCGTACAATGTAACGCTAAGTATACCCAATATATTTGTCCGTGGCTGTAATTACGCAACCAAGACCGGGGAAATGGCCCAAGTGTTTATTGATCGTTACCGCTCGTGAGTGGAGCGCATATTAACGATCTTTGGGTTCTCTTGGGGGAAATTTACTGCTCTCTCCACCAATATACGTGCACATGAAGGGGGAGGGGGATTTAGTAAGAAAAAAAAAAAATCGATTAAAAATATGCGTTCGCGCAATCTCAGGATTACTTATGCAAGTAAAAAGCCCCAAACTCGGCTTCAAGACGGAACATTTTACCATCGTTTTCAGTTGCGCAAGCCCTTAGAAAGCCAATAGATATTTTGTCACCCAAGGAAAAAAAAAAAAAAAACACACACCCAAGGATCCCCGAATTATTTCGACTTATCTTCCACAAAGAGTTGCGCAACACCCTCGGTTCACTTATAGAAAAGTAGTCACCTCAAGGTACACGTGGGGTACCCCACCCATGTAATATATGTAACCTTGCATCCGTATGGAATATACAAGTAATGGTGGACTTTCATCTGGGAAATCGAACCTTTTTGAAAAGCCTCTCCGCGCGTACACAAGTGCACGCGGAACAGTCCAGAGTGCAACTCTCACTCCAGACGGGATTACGGTATACCAAGAGAAATATACACATGGACGGAAGGATAATGAGCAAATGAATCAGAAAACGTCGGGGTAAGTAGTGGACGTGTGGGTGAAAAAGTAACGGACAAGACAATCGGTGAGACTCACTTCGTTGAGAGGACTGAGGTCGTCAACCGCTTCCCTCTTGGCCACCGGAGTGCAGTTGACCACGGCCACGAGCGCCAGCGCACCGCAGAGCACGAGCGACAGCTTCATCCTCCTCGCCTTTGGACCGCGTACTTTTTGTATCGTGTATCCTCTCCTTTCGACTTCCTCCTGTGGAATTCAAGTACATTCGAGTATACACACAAATTTCGCTGAGAATTCGGCGCCGCTTTCTCTTTCGCCGTCTATCAAACGCGTACATATATATATATATATATATATATATATATATAGGCACGGTAAGCTCGAGTGGACGGGCTACCCGAGAATTTGTAATTTGTCATTGGGTCAGCTGCGTTTCGATTTCTATTGGGTAAGTCCGGACGGTATGTAATCGGCGCTGCGATGCTTTCGAGGTGTTTATTAAATTAGCGAGGCGTCAAGTTTTCGTGGCGATGAAGAAATTGGGGGGTTTTTTTTCTTCGAGAAATAAAATATAAAACTCGTCTTGGAACCCAATAACCCATGCGATATCGTGCAATCGGTGCTTTTGCCATAGAAAGTTAATAAAATTATAACGAAAATCGCGTGTTACGCAATTGACGGAGTAAAAACATGTGCACCTAACGACTATTACCGCAGTTATCGCGTTAAAAAAAAAAAGAAAAAAATCACTTACGTATGATATAATACACGCACGAGGAAGTACAGCTGAAAGCCTTAAGAAAAATTACTAAAACAAGCTACAAAAGGAAAAGATCGGTTTGATCGTATGAAAGTCATGAGAGTAAGAGAAAAAAAAGAGTAAACCGGTCAAGACTTACGGATAGCGTGGGTGCGAGCGTGTGCGAGAAGTCAAAGGAGGAGATGACGGTGCAGTGATCCGTACGAGCTTTGTTCGGGCCGAAAGCTCTGTTTTAACGAATGTCCCTGTTTTGTCTCAGCAGAGCCAGGGGGAGATGCGTACCTCACGGAGTGCGAGGCTCGTTTGAGTGAGGTGGCGAACGAGTTGGCCAAAGTCTCTCTCTTACTTAGCCGGCGCTCGAAGACTGGCCGCGCCGCTCGAGCATATGTGTAACGTATTCGTGTGTGCACGCGCGTTTTCCCCCTTCGCGAGAGATCGAGATTCGAGAATCGACTCCTCTCCTTTGGGCCCCTCCTCTTATACCTGACTTCTCGCGCGGCTGATACTACATGTGTCCGTGCGTACACCCATTGGGTTTATATATACTTGGTTGTGTTGGCCTTTTTTTTTATGTTCATCTCAATGGTGATTACATGGCGACATTTTTTTACCGATGATGCAGAGAGGAATGATTAGTAGAAGGGAGTGTTGCGACGGTATGGAAGGAGTGGGTTAATAAAGATGAAACGAAAAGGGATTACACAAGTTGCATTTGCCTACGTTATTTTTTTACTTCTTGGATGAGCACATGAATCTTCTGAAAGGAAAATGGGGCAATAGTTGGGTTGAGATGAGTTTAAGACTAATTGATTTTAGTGTGTTGCAAGTAACGGGGAATCATATTTTTGACACGTTCATCAGTTGTACACGTATTCCATCCTTCAAATGTACTTCTGGTGTAGTTTGGCTGGTAGAGCTCATAGCAGGGAGCGCGTATCGGAGCAAATCGAAACCAGAGCCTCCTCAAAGAGTATAGTGCTTTCAGAGACAGCAATGATCTATAAATCAAATTAAATCTCTTACTGTTACTTACTTCAGACATTATTAATACTTGTTTTTTTTTATCAGATGCAAAACTATCGCTTTGTTGCAAAACTCGTCTCATAAGTCGAGGAGACACTGCGCCCTTCGTCTTACGCAATTTGTCAAATTCGTGACAGTGACAGATCATTTTTTTTTAGTCATGAAGCAGAATTACCAGAAAATACGTCATCTATTGTTCCTTTTTTCTTGGGGACATTATGTCTTACGAAAATTAAATACGCGCACTTCCCCAGGATACAAGGATTAACCGGATAATCAGCAAACTTTCATCATTTCAACTTTGATGTATTCACACGAGCCTGTGAAAACATGAAATTTTGTACAGTAAGAAATTCTTGTAACTAATCATTTTGCTTTCGAAAGCAGTTTCTCAGTTTACCAAAAACAATAGAAGATTAAAACGAGAGCCTGTACGCTTATTATTCGACGATTTCAAGTCCACTTATTGAACGAAGGAACACGGTTTTGTAGCTTCAATGGCAAGAATCATTAGTAGAAACTTTTATCGCTGAGACAAAAGACATTCCAAACAGATCGCTTAGGCGGTACAATGTCGAGTTTTGCCGCAAATCGCCTTACGAGCGCGTACTCTATATTTTCACGTGAAGATTATTGCCAAGGTGAAAGGAAAAAAGTTTTAAGGTTCAAGTTGCGATGGATTTTACGATCTACGCTGGCCATCTGCTTCTTGCACGAATAATGAATCTGAAAATAGAAATCTCCGTCACCCAGAAAAATTTTACTTTTTGTTTACATTTAATAACTTAGAATTTCTGTCACCAAAGTTTGCTGTAAAAAGAGATCCATCGATTTTTAATGTACCCAAAGATTTCAGGTCACAAATTGCCGAGTGAAATGTATCAAGGACAATGCGATGAATGTTTATTACAACTCACTATTGGTATAATTTGTTTCCCTCGTACTATTACAACTTGAAAAAAATTTTTTAACCAGCACAAACAGTCTCAATTTTCAAGTGAGTGTTTCTCCTTTTATTTGGTTTACATAATAATTTACATAATATTACGAACCGATGCATATTTATGCATATAACCAAACATATTTTGAATAGGTTCCAAAAAAATTATACTGTCCGCAAGTAGTAAAACCAGTTCAGGAAGCATCTTAAAAAAAAAAAAAAAAAACTCGTTACTGAATGTTTTTTCTTTTCACTCTTGAGACTTTTTGGTCAATATTCAGGGAAGAATCATTGCTTAGGCATCATACAAGGTTGATTTTGTCAAAATAAAGTGATGAAATAGTCACGGAGATAATTTTCTGTCTTTAGATATCATATAACACGATTGTGTATACTAACAAAGCACCTATGTAGGCTGGCGCAGTTCTTATGATTTTGCTACAATAGTTTCTTTAAAAACTTATCATTTAATGTCATAATCAACTGCCTAATTACCTATTTTCATTGTACTTGGTTACTCTGTGACGTAATATCAATTATACTTTTATCACAACATAAAAACCACTCAATTGAATTCTTATTTACCTAATATGCCTAATTAATGTTGTGGTACAGGATAAGTAAGATAGGAAAAAAAAATTGCAGTTACGAGGAATAAAATGATCAATTATAATTAGATTGCTAATCTGAAAATTTGCAATCGCACATGAGATAATATTAGTTGGAATTTTGCAGTTATTTTTTTCATCACTATGCATTTTGTTGGTGTAACAAACCTGGTTTTTATTTATACGTAATTAGCTAGCACAAATATTTAATTTCAATGACTGTAAGAGAAGCAGTAATGAATATTGAATAATTTCTTTATATTCTATAGTACATGTGTGTGGCAAAAAAAAAAAATATTAAAGTCTAGGCTAGCAATAACTTTTAATAATCCAGCTAGAGAATCATTTTTGCGTAACCACTCATTGCTTTATTTTATAAATTTCTACTTGATTATCTTATGCTGTGTTAATTTTGTAGTAATATAGGCATTAACACTTAAATAAACAAGCTGCTTTGGTACGATTTTTAAGAGGAAATCACGTCAAGGAGGTCAGCCGTCAATTTTTTTTTTTATTATTGCAAACATTTTGACACTGACGTATTTCGAACGCTTTAACAGGAATTTTAAGTGTATCGCCTAAAAACTATCAAAACACAGGTAGCCGATCTCCAGAGAATATGTTTAATTGGAACTGTGTCACTTTTAATGACTCGTGGCCTTCGTCCGATTGCGTAACATTATAAGACAAGAAAGCATATCAATCAAATGAATCTGTCACTTGTTGCAGAAAAAAAAAAAAGACATATCAAGTTATCCAAGGAACAAATCAAACAGCCAAAAAAATCCAAAAAGAGCAACCAAAACGAAAAACTCACCAATCACCGTGTCAAGGCTCAATCCTGAAAGTACCGACACGCCCAACTCCTTCACTCGCTGATGTGCCGGCTTTCATCCTGATTCCGTCCCCTTGGACTTAATTCCACGAAAACGAGCCCTTCTCTCGAATATGTTGCACTTGGCTTCCATTCACTGGTCTACACACGTGGGCTCTCACGAATTATCGATCGTAAAGTAGCCTAAAGAAACACAATCACCTTCCAGTTAGACAAAAATTCTTACTGTTCCATTATCTGTCGTCACCTTCCAGTTATATGAGCTAAAAAATACAATTGTATTGACCCATGAGAAGAGGAGTTTCCACGAAACATCTGCAAGTTTTTTTGCTTTACAATTTTTTTTCAATAAAAAATTCCCAAAGCCTTGAAGAAAAACTTACACGCGATCCCACCAATGACACAATTACCAAGGAAAAATTAAAAAAAAAAAACCTATAATTCATCACCAGTTGTGTTATGCGCTTAATGGAAAATCCCTTCGATGCAAGAGGCTTTCCATCGATCGGCAAACTCGGACTGCGAGTCGCTCGAAACTGAATTGACGCAAAGCCAAAGCGGTTCGAGAAAGAAAGTGTTCCGGGGAAATGACGGCCGGTCTGCGAGGGGACATCAATGACCGCACGAGAAAGACCACACGGCCGGAATATTCGAAACCAAACTACAACCATACATTCTGGTTTGGTCAGTCGTAGCTCACTATTTCCACGGCAAACTTGGCGCAGATTTTTTTCCAGCATAAAAATTAATTACCAAACTTAATACCGATCCAAATAAAGAAAGTATGCGTTATCACGCAACATCTTCGTTAATCAACGAGTTATGGTCAGTTCGTGCGATTTAAAACGGTAGTGATGGTAAAATCCCAAAAGGCCGTGCTCATCGATAACACATCTACCTCTATCTTCCGGCTATCTCAATGATAATCGCTGGCTCACGTAATACAGTGGCGCTCGAGTGGCAGCCAATATGTGCGCACATCCGCGTTTCGTCTGCCGTGGGAGTCGCGGTCTGGTCCTA